TATAATCACGTATTTTATATATCAAGAAATACAATTTATACATTTAGTCCCATTATATACAAAAGTTACATTACAAAAGTAGCTACCAAATTTTTCCACATAATCGCAAGACAAGACTTGTATACATAACAAGTAATCAGGTACATATAACATCACATCTTCCAAAATCTATATATGTAAGCAATCATGATCCCTTTATAATTTTCCTATTCCCTTATTATCCGATTGTACCCGACCTATGCACATTTTAGAACACCAAAATGAGGGTTAGACCATAAGGTCTAGTGAGAAATCCATTTGATTGCTATTACATAGGAAAATCACCAAAATACTTTTATAAAACCCATATTTGTATAAATAATAAATAAACAACGTGTTATTGAACAAACCTCTTTTTGTCGCATCATATAGATGAGACAACTTCATCTTATCGCATCAAACTCATTGTGATATTAAACTTGTCGCATTAAACAAATAAGTAATCAAGTTATCGCATCAATTATAAAAGTACATCGATCTTATCGCACCTCATTGTTGCGATAACCCAAATTTGTCGCATCACTTGTTATAACCGGGTTTTCTACGAACCTGGGTCAAGGTAATTTTATGTGTTTAATATGTGAAATATGTGATTAACATGCATGATATTCTAATGCATGGATGGTATATGTGCAAAGACATGATGCATATATGAGTTTTGTGATTCATACATGAGATTTATGCATACATGTGATAAGATATTATATGAAAATAAATATATTAAAACTCAACCTTCATGGTTAAGAAAACCGTGGGTTTTTATAATAAATAAACCCACCACCCAAAGATATTTTTATTAGATAAATGATTCACCGCCTATGAGTTTTATAATAATTAAAATAATCTTTACTGCCATGGTGAGATTATTTAAAGAAAGAAAGATATAAGATTCTATCTTATCACTTCATTTGGAGAAAAACCTGTTGAAAGAGAAAAAGAGTGTTGTGGCGGTGAGAAGTGTTYTTGAAGAAATCTTTTGTTCAAAGCTGTTTGAAGAGCTTGTGATTTGCTGTGTGCTTTAA